GCCACGTGTGTTATTGCCTATTCAGATGCGGATTGGGCAGGCTGTCCAGATATATCTCGTTCCACGACTGATTTTGCAGTGTTCTTGGGCCCAAATCTTGTCTTGTGTAAGTCCAAAAAGCAGCATACCGTTTCCAAGTCCTCTACAGAAGCAGAATATCAGACTGTTGCATATACTGTTCAGGATACTTGCATATTCGTTCGGTCCTCTTTGAGCTCGGTTTTCCAGTTATAGTTTCGGTCCAGTTATTTTGTCATAACATCTCTGCTTCTTATTTGACTGCTAATCCTGTTCAGCATGCTTGAGCAAGCACATCCAGATAGATCACCATTTTGTCAGAGAACGTGTGGCTCATGGAGACTTAGTCGTGAAGTACATCCCTACACAACTACAATTAGCTGATATTTTTACAAAAAGTCTTTCTAGTCAACAATTTCGATTTTGAAAGGAAAACTTGCGCGTTGTATCTCCCGCACAGTTTGAAGGGGTGTAATAGAATATTACTATAAATTAATTATTATGTACTCTTATTTCGTTTATTTAACTATATCATCATTGTCCTTTAAAAAATGGTGATAATATCTCCCGCACAATATGTCTCCCGCACAATTTGCTTCCTAGTATGTTTATAACTCTTTCATTATAAATATACATGTCAGGACTCCTATTGAAGTACCGTTCCCATTAATTCTCACAATATTTTCCATGATATACTACACAATGATTGAGTTAAATTTAATTAGTGTATATATATACTTATGTGCGTATATAAATTAATTATTATGTACTAATAACATTATATAAATGATGGTATACCTTAAATAAACGAAACTAAAAGAAATATTGAAGTAATAATTTCCTTTTTATTGATATATTTAAAGTTACAGTGATCAGTTTCTTCTTAGTCATATTTGTTTTGTTATGGTCAAGCCATATTAAACAGATAAAAGCGCAGGTCATTCTGTATTTCTGTGTTTCTAAATACGGAGTATGTGTGTAAATATGAGCCATATATCTCTTTACGTCAACAAAATACGGAGTATTACTCTTTACAACTTACTTCAAAAGAGCATTCTTTTTCTTGTACCGAGAGTATATAAAGATTGTTGGAGATTTATTGAAGTAAAGCTCAATTATTATACTACATGGTCCTTAATTTTTTTATATAAATAAATGGTGTGATTTATTAAATGGTGTTAAAGTAATATTTAACATAAATATTATGAGAACTACATGTGTGCACGTTGCAGTGTCATAATAATTATAATAATATTACTTTATTACATTTGCACTTTTGTGCTCTTTGTAAATGTTAAGTTTTAGAAGGGGCCATCCATGTACGTACTTTGGCGCGGCACCTTTTGGTGTTCAAATTTTAAAAGTAAATTACATGGAAATATTTTTAATAGAATGTATATATTTTTTATAAAGAGCCGCACCTTTTCGTTTGTTAACTGCCGATATGCAAAGAATTTTTCCATTATAAATAGCAGGACCATTTGATTGAGTATGAAAAAATTAATTTTTCAGTCTTCTCTTGCCTTATTGAATACTTAATATCTGCAGCGTTAGTATTTAAGTGTTTAGATCACTTTATATACAAATCACTTGTTAAGTGTTATTTTATCAGTAGTTAAAATACACTTGTATACCTTCTTTTTATCCCAAAAGTTCTATCTTGTAACTCGGTTATTGTGATAAGGGTAGATAGTAAACTTTTAGGAAAGCGTATTTATACGTGACTAGAAGTGATATCCGGTCCAACCATATTTTTCACACCCTTACAATATACTATTTATATCCTCCGGATCTAACAAAGTTCAACTGAAGATATTTGTTCAGGTATGATTGCTATACATTACTTACACATTATACCATGAGAGAAACTTAATCGAGCATATAATTAAAGAACACGTACTGTAAAGATTATTTTCATTATGTTATTTACTTCGGAAGCGTATACGGTACATCGGCTGTACGGTGCCGGTGATAATTTTGTGATTTTGATGAAAAATGTAGATTCTCTTAAATGAGCATTGATGCAATTTTTGGTGAGCATGAAGTCTGTTTTTTTAGTATTATGAGCCTACCAATGAGCATCGGTGTTCCTTGCTTCCTATCTTCCAATTCACTTTTGTTTTATTATTTTTCAATATGTGAATCTAATGTAGTAGTGTATACGTTTGAAATGTGCAACATTTTAAATGAGTATAAAGCGGTATCAAATGAGCATTTATAACTTAGAAAATGAGTATCAAAAAATTAAAAAGCTCATTTGTGTATGTTCATTCGTTTTGAACATTGTACTCACTTGATCTTAATATAAAACTCATTTTTAATATGTTCAATATTAATATGTTCATTCAATTCCTTTTAGGCGTATACTCATTTCAGTTTAATGTAAAACTCATTTGAGATTAACAGCATCAAAGATTCCTCACCAACAAAGCAGGCTCCCCTTGTCTTCTAAAATCACATGCTCAAACAGTAAAAATTACACCGACAACTACGCCGGAAAGAAAACAGATGGATGAGAAGGGGTGGAGAAGTTGGGCGAGTGGTGAACTTTGATGACGAGCTGCTAGTGCGAAATCAGATTGTAAAAGCCCAGCGAGATTGAAGAAGCGAGATACAAAGTCCTGTGCGAAATCTGGTGCAAAAACGCCTGCGAAGTCATGTGCGAACGTCTGGTGCGAGGCTGGTGCGAACGGAAGAAGCGGAGAAAACCTAAAAAAAATCCGACTGTACAGCCGCCTGTAGGATGTAATTTACCATTTACTTCACGTTTTTCTTATTGAAACTCAACTTTAATGTGAAGGATTTAATTTTGGAAAATCACAACGCACTCATTAAAATCAACTCTTTCTTGAAGTATCAAAGAAGATGATAAATAAATAATTTTGATACTTGCAGAGAGACGAGGATTTTTGAAGTGCTTGAGCCGATTCGTGCTGATAACTTATTGTGAAATGAAGAAGATGAAGGGCAAATTTAAAAGATAGATATATTAATAATAACATCTAAATTGCTTCTTCTTAATATCTGAAATTTTTTGAGTTGAGTTTAAAAAGGATTGAACTAGCTCTATTTATGCTAGCCAAGATTGGGGATTAATCATCTAGGAATGATTCTACACAATTTGCTGACAGTATTAGATTTACCCACCTGTCTAACTATGATTACAAGGATATGAATTAGATGAGTAAGCTTATTACAAGGAACTAGAGTAGCTTGGTGTCCTAATGACAAGGATGGACATGTCTTTCTCAGTAATTTACAACATGTAAGTTATTTGTTGACACAAAAATTGGGTTAGTTAAAGGTGGGCACAGTCTGGTCCAATATTTTGTCGGACCCGTACCTGTACCGTGACTATTGAAATGGTTCGGTTCCGTCTTAGACCTAAACCCGTTCGGTATGGTTCCATTTTCAAACGGGATGGTACCATGTCATACCAATACCAAAGAATGCCACTCTTTTAAGTGTTTACGGGAAAATTAAAGTTTAGTCATCCTCCAAAAATCCACTCAAATTATCAATTTTCATATTCCATACTACTTTCATCCCAAATTAATTTGCAAAGGCAACATTTTTTTAGTCAAACAGTTTCTTTTTATTCACTTAATTAGGATATCGCTTTATAATTATATTGTAATTGGCGTTTCAAAAAAAAATAATGTAATTTGGATTTTGCAACTTTAAAGAGATTTTAATGTAATTTCTAAATATATAAACTTTAATTATTAAAAATTATATTAATTATCAATAGGGAGGAGTTAACATTAACATTGGTTGACCAAAAGATTTTGGTATTGCAAATCAATTTGGGACATATGGAGTAATTAATAAATTTCAAATAAACTATAGTATTACAAATTTAAATAATTAAACCATACTTCGGTGCGGTTCAGTCCGATACCGGTTCTGATTTATGAGAACCCGTCATGACATTGTTTGAAACCGATACGGTCCGATTCGGAACAAAAAATTTTGAGATCCATTTTAAAACCCGTTTATCGGTCCGGTATCATATCGATCCGGTTTGATATCATGTTGGTTCGGTATTTTTGCCCACCAGAGGGTTAGTTGTGCGTAGTACTCCGTATAATTTTGCCAAAGAAAAGGCTCATCTTGAGGAATATGGGATTGCCTGTGGAGCCGTGGAGGGATGATAAACCACTAAAGGGGACATAATGTATTCTATTTCCTGACGAGACAAACTTTCTTATTTTCTTTTTATTCCTCATTTCTTTTATAAGTAAGACTTCTATGGTTGCTATTGTTTATTCCCATCCTAAAGAATTCAAACTCTACACTTTTCACTTGAATGAACATTGTATCAAGTTAAAGTTTGAGATATATATACCAATGAATTTATGGAGAACATCGAAGTGCTAATTATGGGAGGGTGTACTGTTAGTGTGATAAATGGTTGGAATTACTCGTCTAAAAATTTGAGAGAAACTTGACCCCTTGTACTCCATCCGTCCCTATTTGTAATAAGATTTTTTAGTTAAAAAAATTTACATATTTGAAAACTAAACTAAAGTTTTGTAAAGTTGCAAAAGAAAAACTCAAATTTGAAAAAAAATTGGATATATAGAGTAAAATATTAAAAAAAACATTATTTTGACCGAAAAATAGTGGACGAGAACATTTGAATAGGAGTATGTGACATGTCACAGGCATAGCCAAGGGGGTTGGCCAAGCCACCCCGAATTGTAAAAAGGTTTATATTTTGCGTAAAAATTTAATTAAAAAGTTTTTTGTATCAGCTCAGTCAGTCCAAAAAATGGAATATGTACGAGAAGGGTAAGAAAGAAATCAAAGAATGAGAGTTGAACTAGAGAAGGAATATGTAATGAACAAGTACCACATGCAAAGCCAGAGACAGGAGAAGCAAGCAAGCATTCAGGTTGTGACTGAAATATTCTTTGGGAAAACTGAGACGAAACCTAAACCCCAAAACACTATCCACCTCAATATATATGCAACTTTATGAAATTATTAGTATGTACCCAGACCATTATATAAAATTCTCCAAAACCACAAATTGCAACAGATGGCCGCGGTGGCTATGGTTGGATCAGTTGCCAGCCCTAAGATAGCACAATATAACCCAACCTGCCATTGGAAACATGAACAAGACTGTGATATCCTTGAGGTCCTTCTGTCTCCAGGTATATACTATTATTGTGTAAGAAAAAGTATTCCCTGGTCTAGTATATCAAATTTTATTAGATTTCAATTCATTTCGAAAAATGTATATTAGTTTCAAATATATTTTATCTTATATTTATCTTTATGCCTTTATCTTATCCATTTTATCTTACTTTATCTTTTTATTCTTCTTATCTTTCTTCTCTTTTTGGCTCTGATATCTTGGATCGATTCATGTTAGCCGATCTCAAAATCTTTTGGGAATAAAGCTTGAATGTTATTGAAGTTTTAGTCCTTGTGCTTTGTGAATCTTTTTTGTGTTGCACCAGCCCAATTTATGTTTTGATTGCTTTGGAAGTGGTATACATTCTTCATTTTGATCTCTTGAAGGATTCAAGAATGATCATCTCATAGCAGAATATGGAGATGGTGGAACTGTGAGGATTTCTGGGGAGGGGCCAGAGGGGAAGATCAACAAGGAAGTCTTAGTTCCTGGAGACTATTATAATTATAATACTAATGAGTTTGAGGCAAGATACAAGAAAGGTATTCTTCGTGTTACATTACCCAAGAATAAAACCAGAGATCCTGCACAGGATAGCAGCAACCTAATCAGTGAGTCAAACCCCAGCAGTAGCGCTGAAGAAAAGGACACCCAGAAAGCTTCATCTCAAGGAAATGTCACAAAGTTTGCAATCAATGTTGCAGCGGTAGTGGCAGTGGTTTCTGTTATCGGCGTCTTCAGTTACATGATTTATAGCCATATAAAACGGCATTAAGAGTTCATTCAGTACGGTTATCAACTCTCAATTTTCAAGATAATTTCCAAAATAACTGGGAATATGTTGTTCCTGCTTTTAAAAAACAAAAATGATGTTTGTACACACTCTTATACACACTTTTGTACACACCTATGTCTGTGAAAGCTTTTTTTTGTCTGTGAACATAGATTCACACAAAAAAATTGAAATTTTTGCACACAAAAATTGTACTCCGTACTAGTTATACACTTATACTTGACATATCAATGACCATATTGATAAGATGGTCGATTGATTTGCTAAGGTCATGATAGGGCCGTTCACTTGAATGAAACAAAATTCTGCATAATAGGATCATGTTAGTACTCCCTGTCTGAATTTACCTTGACATGTTTTCTATTTTCTAGCATCATATTATTATTACTTAATAGTCATGACACCACGTTTTGTGAAAATTTTAATGTAGTTTTTGATCATGTATGATTTGTTTGCTCTCATTACATTAAATGTTATGAACCTCATTGCAAAACTAAGACACATAAAAAAGATAGAAGAGTATTACAGAGAAATAACAACAAATATGTAACTAATAAAAATGGACAATATTATAAGTTGATGGCCCCCAATAGTTATACTACACACAGACAATGTGGTAGTCATATATTTGTCCGTGAGTACTATTTTTGTAATATTACGAAAAATATTATCGTAGGAAAACGCTGTTGCAATCGGATGAAAAACTCAACGGTCCATATCTACTCTAATATTTAAGGCTTACTTTCTAGGAACAATATTTTATTCTTGGGTAAAAAGGCTGTGGAATAGAGGATGAGTTACAACATTTAGAAGCCCAGAAATACCAGCCAAGCACAAACTGAGGTATCCCTCTGAAGTTGACAAAATAGGGATTTGTGTGAAATACATCTAGGCTACAAACCGTAAAAATTACAGGATATAACTTCTTTCCAGAAGTAAAAATATTTAAAACAAATACCGAAAAAAAGAGAGTAAAAACAAAATGTGCCAAGGAAACAGTGAAACACCAGGCTACCAAGATAGACACTTATATTTAATCTCAAATCCCAACTATGGAGTAATGGAGACACATACAAATACATGGTGGTAGTGAGGGGGCTCACCTGGCATTGGCCAGCTGAGCACAGATCTGTTTGGCTGCAGCAACAAAATTTTCAAAAGTGGGGCTCACCTCAGTGTACCTGCAGGTCTTAAGGCCAAAATCCAGGTTGACCCACAAGATCTTGGTTTCAAGAACCGCAAGCATTTTGTTGATTCTATTCACAATCTCTTCTGTGGTGGGTATCCTGGGAGAGTGGATGTTATACACACCTGACCCAATTCCTGCACCATAATCCACATCCTCACAGAAAACCGAGAGAAGCTTCTCATCGGAACCCGAGTTCTCAATTGTTATCACATCAGAATCCATGTCAATAATGGAGTGGATGATATCATTGAAGACCTCTGATATACTTCACATAATTCTTTTATATAGGCAAGGTTAAAATGCCCAGAAATTGTTAGTGCCTATTTAACAGAAAGAGTTAAAGTGCCCGTTTGAAAATATCCAAGATTCTTATAAGAAATTCCATGCATAGCAAGTGTTAATGGACACCACAAATCCACAGTTGGTGATTCTGAAAGAGTGAACAGCCCAGTTCAAATATAAAATGCATGCTCAACCTTCCTAAGAGGTAATCCCTCCCTCAAAGCAGCTTCATCAATTTGGATAACAGTGATTCCTGCCTTCTCCAAATCCTCTACTTCTTCCTTAATTGCCAAAGCACTCTGATAGCAAGTTTTAGATCTGGAAACAGACCCAAACAAAGATTAAAACATTGGATGTATTAGCGAAGTAGTGATAGGACAAAATGTATGCTTTTATGGATCTCTTTGGTTACCTTGGCTGGTCGTTTCGAACAAAAGACCAGTTGAGAATCGTGACTGGGCAAGTAAGCATTCCCTTCATCAGGCGCTTGGTCATGCTCTGAACTGTAGTGGACCAGAACACATTCATTAGTTTGAGACTGCTAACATCACCATAGATGATAGGCGGCTTCACGCGGCGCGATCAGTAAGATTGAACCCATCAATTTGCAGTAAAGTTATCATTCCTCTGCATATTCAACATTGGAGTGTGGTTATACACTTATACCTTAACACCTCGCAAACAAAAGCATAGAAGGCAGAACGCTGACTTACCTCTGGTTCTCCATGAACAAGAACATCAATATCCAGCTCTTCCTGAAACTTGACCACTTTGCAATAGTGGTGGGCTGGCTGGTGTGAGTAGTGTGTTGGGCCAAATCTATTTTACATGTGTGGGCGAACTCAAATTAATTATCTCAAATCTTATAAATAAGGAATTTTATCAATTTAGGATTTGAAAGATAGATGAATTATAAATTCGGAAATTGAAATGTGAAATGTATCTATATATGACTCGAATGATGGAAAGCTATCAATCGAGAACCTAACATTTCATAGGTTTTGATTTATTTAATTTTGTCTAAAGGGCAAATAGATACATGAGCTAACTTAAAGTGTTCAATTAGGCCCTTATATAGGAGGTTCTGCCCGACCGTCGCCAATTGGGGAAGTTCCCGGAGGAATTTTTTGATGAAATTTTTTGAGCATCTTCTTCATTAAGTCTAATTTATCCATATCAAATTTCAGCTAAAAATTCAACCGAAAAGACAGTCAAATTGATGTAAACTTTGCTTCTCACAACTTGAGTAATATTTGTGGCCTATTAGTTTGAATTCTTCTTCTCTAGCTAAGAATTCCTGCTGAAACTTTTGTATGCTCTTCGAGTAACTTCTTGGAGCATAGCAATTGGTATCAGGGCACTTTCCTGGACAACTTCTAATTGCATTCATCACTCTGACTACTAGCCTTAGCCTTGTTTGGTTCAAAGGAGGGGAAGGAAGGGGAGAGTCAAAGAGGGAAGGGAAGGGAAGGGAAGGGAAGTGGAAGGAAGAATTTTGATAAAGGGGGTGTTCTTTTGTTCTTTTGTTCGAGGATGATGAGTGTTCTTTTGTTCCCAGGTAGCCGGTGAGGGTGCGGTTTGCTTCTTGACCGTTGGCCGTGTTCTGTGTTTTTTGGCCGAAGCGGTGTTGTCCGTAGTCTGGCGTTCACGCTTTTGAGGACGATAACGACACTGATCTGGGAGGAGCGGTGTGTGTCCTGGTCTCAAAGCCGATAAATGCCCTGTGACCTCAAGTGTTGCGCTTTTGGAGGGAATTCTTTGTTCGCTAGCTTTGCTGCGGCCGATGGTGCACCACGATGTTATGGACGTTGTGGTGCATGTCTAATGTTGTAGTTATGGGCTTGGTATATTTTTGGATTTTTCTGATTTTGTCTCGGTTTGGAAAGGCCGGTGTAGTCCCCTAGTCCCCCACTGCTTCAGGTCGAAGAGTAGATGAGGGGTGAAGGAGTAAAGGATTTACCCAGGCCGAGGCGGACTCTTGTATACACCTGAATCCAATTCCTTGGCGATTCCCTGGTCAAGGTAACCCTGTGGGAGAACCCTTGGACGCAGGTCGCTTTCAAGAAATTATCATCAGGGTTTTATACAGGGCCGATGGCGTGGGGTTTCTTGGTGGTTTTACCGCCGCGGCCGTTGAGAAAACCATGCGATTGGCATTCTATTCGAGCCGATGTTGACGTGCCTTGAGATGTGATCTATCCATTTGAAGTATCTGTGTTGCAGCCGATACGAGCATGCTTTACTTGTGTGGCCGTTGAGTGGTTGGCTCGTTAGTGGTGAGCTGGTGTTGTGGAAGTGGGCCTGACCCGACTTCTAAACTGGTGCCCAGCCCAATGGGCCTTGGGGGTGGTGGCCGTTCATGTGGCCAATGGGAGGTTGCCACGTGTAGTGACCGTTGGGGGGGGAGGTCTATAAATACCCCCCCCCCCTCCCCCCTCCGAAGAGGTTCCTCATTGCATTCCTGAGATAATGAAGTGTTGCTGAATTTTCTAGAGAGATAAAGTTCTTTCAAGTGTTCTTCGTGTTCATCCCAGCTTCAAAGGTTAGTTCATCGAAACATCCCTCTGTGCTTTGCCTATTTCGCTTCCTAGGCCATTGATCCTTTGTTAGTGGGGAAAGACCCTTAGATCCAAAGTAGAAATCTTTAGGCTCTAGTTAATTGTTATAATGAAGCCTTTGGACGATGAGTACTACCCGTACGACGATGAACCCTCTGCTAAGTCCCTTGATTACCGGGTGGTGGAGGAGTGCTGTGAGGAGATAGAGGAGTTGAGCTCCTTCAAGTCAGGGGAGGGTGAAGATGAGGACGAAGAGGCCGCCTCATCGTCTGATGGTGAAGACGTAGTGGCTTCACGTGCTGTGGACGGAGCGTCTACATCGGCTGCGATCCCCTGCCCGAAGCCGGTTTCTGCTGTGAAGGGAGCTGCTCCGATGAGAAGGCGGCGGCCGAAGAGGGGTCCAGGTTTCTTTTACCTGGATCTCACCAACCTTTATCTGATCAAGCCGGAGAGTAGTGCGGCCGATTACCTGGTGGCCCAGATGTACGTGGGGTCGTATGGACGGGTTAGGGCGCCCAAGCCGACGGATCACGTGTTGAATCCACCTCCGGGGTATTTTGGAGTATACCCCATGAGCTTCACAAAGGGACTTAGGTTTCCCCTTCACCCCTTCATCACAGAGTATCTGGACATGGTGGGTCTCCCTCCGGCCTTGCTGACTCCCAACAGTTATTCGCTCATCGTCGGCTTTCTTCTCCGCTGCGATGAGCTAGATTTAGGCCGACAACGGCATTGTTTATGAACCTGTACCAGATTGGCCGAGGGAGCCACAAAAATTGTGCTGGTTACGCCAACCTCCAACAGCTGCCGAAGAAGAGGAGTTTCACTGACCTCCCTTCGTCTATTCATGGATGGAAGAGCAAGTTCGTCTTCGTGTCCTTGGGTGAGGACGGTACGGAGTTTCCTTCAGTTGGTCACGACAGGAAGTTCACCCTGCACGACGTGCCGAAGAGCGGTATCCTGGATGCCCAGGTAGCGGCGTTTCTAAAGGATGGGCCGAGGAGCGTGAAACATTACATCACGGAATACAAGATGACTGCCCTCGGCTTCATGAGGTATCACGTTTATGGTGACAAGGAAGGTGATATCGAGTTGTGGCCGAAGATGACCACCACCTTTGAGGAGGCCGACAGCCCGGATATGGGCATTCCTGCTGATGCCGATGGTAATACCTTCCCTGGCGTCTTCGTCTATGTTTTCTTTTGTGTTTTGCTAACTGTTTGTTTCCCTTGTTTTGCAGACTTCGCTATGGATCGTAGATCCGTCATGGCCTTAGCAAAAGCTAAGGCGAAGGAGGAAATGGCCGCAAAGGAGGCCGCAAAGGTGGCCACTGTGAGCGGCGCTCAACCAAACTCTTGATGTGGCGAAGAAGCCGCCAACGCAGCCGAAGAAGAAGCGGCCCGCCGATGACGGTCAGAAAAAACTTACTGAGGCCGGCATGCAATCCAAGAAGTCGAAGAGGGCTTCCACTCTGGCGGATGCTGGTGCCGGGGTGGCCATACCGGATGATGATGCTGGGGGCTCTAATGCCATTGCCGTTGTGGACACGGTTTCGGTCCCTTCTTCGGCGATCCTATCTCAGTCGCCCCCTATCGGCCAAGAGCCCCGTAAGAAAAGGGCCGGCAAGGAGCTGGCCGGCGGGACTTACAAGCTCGAGATAGAGTACCCTGTGAAGGGTGGCGTCTTCAATGACGCCATTGACAGCCATGATGTCCTGGCCCAGGCTGTCCCGGTAGAGGATCGGGTTTATCTGAAGAAGCTGGGTCCCGTCAGGATTTATGATGGCGGCATGGACCTCATCGTCCAAGTAAGTTCCTCATATTTTACGTCTTTTGTGTCATGGGTTTTGCATCGTCCTAATTTCTTCATTTCTCTTTTTTTGTTTTGTTGCAGGGCGCTTTCATGCTGATGGAGAGCCACAAACGGCAGGAGCAGGAGATTGCCCGCCTAAGGGAGACCGAGAAGAAAGCTGCTTCGGCTGAGGAGGCCATGGCCTGCCTGGATCGGCTTCGGGAGGAAGTGAAGGCCCTTCAGAAGGGTGTTGATGAGGCCGATGTGGCCTACCGGCAGGTAACGGCTGACCGGGATGACGCTCTGAGGGCTAGGGACGAAGCCCTTCAAAGCCGTGATGAGGCCCTGCTCCGGGCCGAAGACGCCGCCAGGGCTCAGGCTGATTCCGAGAGGGCCACTGAGAAGGCCGTTGACGGTGCCATCGAGAGGTTCCTGGCCGAAGGCTGGAAAGCCGATGACCACCGGCCCTGGTGCTATGAAGTCGTGGCGGATCGGCTCGAAGATTGGGGCCAAAACTGCCCTGCTGGTCAAGAGTACTTTGCTCGCGAGATGGCTGTCTACTATGACATGGGCCAGTAGAGGATGCAGCGGCTGATATACCGGAGGCTGCACCGGGCGTTTAAAAAGCTTAAGCTCACCCACAGGTGGGCTAAGAAGAACCTGAAGCTTCCACGGCTGATGAGGGATCCCGAGGCCGAAGCGAAACTCCCCCCATCTGAGAGGTAGGATCCAGTGCTAAGCTCTTCTATTGGTTCGCCTGTCTATTCCGACGATGACACTATGGCCGATACTGTCGTCTCCTCAGCAGGCGAGGCCAGTGAGGGTGCTAGGACGGGGGAGGCCGAAGCGGAGCGAGTGGTCGATGAGACCGTCCCCGAGAGTTGATCGGCTGACTAATCATTCTGTAATGTAGCTAGGCTAGTGTTTGTAACGTCCTTCTTTTTGTAATGGCCGTTGAGCCCTCCTTATGTAATGACTTCATATTAATGAAATATGTTTCCGGCCTTATCATGTCTTTTCGTCATCTTGTTCTCCCTTTACTTCTGTTCTCAAGTTTTCAAAATTTGTCTAAGTGTTTGGAATTGGGACTTGGGTAATTTTCTAAGTATCAAGGCTTCAAGTGAGTGGGTGCTCGCGTCATCTTGGTATTACGCCCCCTTTCACTTTTGCCCGAAACTTTGGAAAATTTCCCAAGTATTGGATCCAAATCTTGGTGCCCTTTTCGGCCCTTTTCCCAAGTATCAAGCCACCGTCATCTTGGTATTACGGCCCAGTGCCCTTTTCGGCCCTTTTGTTCCCATGTCTCCTGTCTAAACAGGAAATCGTATCTGATTTCTGTAGTCGTGGCCTATAAGGGTACCTGACCTTTGCCGTCTGAGTGTGATGACCGAAGTGTTTCCCTACGGGGCTTGACCTTTTGATTGAATGGATTGCTTTCGTCCCTTTCGGCTTTAAATGTTTTCGCCTGTTGCCTTCATTATTTCAATTTTGAAAATTGTCTAAGTGTCAAACCAGAACATAGGTGACTACTGCCTGTGGCTGGGGCCGAGGCGGGCACCTACAAGTGTTTGAATACCCGCTTTGTGTTGAGATTGTTCCTTCGTTATTCAATAGTTTGGATATTTCCCAATTGTTAGGCCATGTAGTTTCGTCTTCTTAGTATCGGCATCGGCCAAGTTGGGCGGTGTGGCCGATGAAGGTGCCCGGGTGTTTTGCACCCGGGTGCTTGCTTCTTCCTTTGCATTCGCTTTCTTCAGGATATCCTCTAAGTGTTTGACATTTTCTTGACAATGTTCTTCAAAATTTTCTAAGTGTTTGAAAATTACTTCGACAACTTTCTTCGCAAATTTCCAGCTTAAGCCACCGCCTAGGTTTTAGCGCCTTTGACGGCCGGCAGGAATATTGTGGCTGGTAAGGGTTGCCATCAGTGTGTTCAACTCCCTCGCAGTGTTTTAGTGCCCGCTTCGTCCTGGGCCTCCTTTTCGGTGTTCGACTCCAGGATCGTGTTAAGTGTCAGCTAGGGTTCTTGGCTTTCATGCCAAGTGTTGAAACTTCAGTTGGTTATGGCCGATGAAGGTTACTACCCTCGTTTCACCTAACCACTTTGGTTAGGATTTTATGGGCGCATGCTCCGTCCTTGACACTTCCTCGTAGCGGATGGCCGCTTCGTCCGCGTTACCTGTTGGTAGTCTTACTTTTGTATTTCAACTGATATGTACTTGGCCAAATGTGGCTTGATTTGTGGGGATTTATTTTTACTGCTCGAGGCCGTCAAGTGCGCACAGTCCTCTCTCTTTTTTTGTTCCCTGTTTCAGGGAGTGTCCTTCTTTCAGGCTTCGACCGAAGGGGTCGATAGTCCTCCGGCCGGTTTGGACTTCGTTTATAACGTCCATGATCTCAGGGGGGTCCCGTCGCCTATTTATGACGCGGGCTAGACTTTTGGTTGGTTTCTAACGGCTGCCGTTGCCCAACCCTGAGTTTGGGGATTTTGTCACCTTGGCCATGATTTCAGGCCTGTCGTCCTGCGATCAGGCGCGTGGACGACGCGGCGAACTTCCCATTTCAAGACGTGGGCCATTTGCAGGCCCATCGTCCTGAGGACATCATCGGCCCTATCTGAGCGTTTCGCTCTGAGGGGTCAGTACGACGTGCTCTTTCAGCTGGGCCTAAACCTTTCGCTGATACAAAATGCAATGGGGCATACCTGAGCTCTTCGCTCTAAGGCTGCAGATGCGAAGCGCCACATCGGCCATGCCTGAGCCTTTCACTCTAAGGTGGCCGATGAGGGCGCCCGTTAATGTGTTGCTCAAATTCCAAGAAATCAAAGGAAACATGATTTTTATTCATAAGTGGCCCAAGGCCGAAGGTGGTGTTCAATCAATAACCCGTCAAGGGGTGAGGGCTTCGCCGGCTGCACCTCCTTCGGATTATTGATAAAACTTCACCAGATTGTGTACATTCCACGTTCGTGGTACATTGGTCCCATTTGGGCGTTTAAGCTTGTAGGTGCCGGGTTTCACCATGGCACTGACGATGTAGGGACCTTCATACTTCAAGGCTAGCTTGCCCCCCTCCGTCGGCTGACTTGCTTCCCTTCGGCGGAGGACGTAGTCCCCCACTTGGAATTCCCGGGAACATACCTTGGCGTCATAGTATAATTTCACTTGACGCCGGTAGTTCTCTGCTCGTATGAATGATTGTTCGCGTCTCTCTTCGACCAGGTGGAGGTCGATCTTCATGTTCTCCTCGTTGACCTGGGGGTCGTACTGCTCCACCCGCCGGCAGGGAATGGCGACTTCCGTGGGTGCCTTTTCTTCAAAGTCGTAGCATAGGGCAAAAGGTGTCTCACCTGTTGCCCTCCTTGGCGTAGTACGATAGCACCACAGGATGTTGGGGAGCTCGTCGACCCAACTTCCTCCTGCGTCCTGTAGGTTCTTCTTCAGCCCCTCCATTATGGTTCTGTTGGCGTTCTCAACCTGCCCGTTGCCTTGAGGGTAGGCAACGGAGGAAAAACGGTGCTTTATTTCTCATTCTTGAAGGAGCTCCTGAAAGGGCACCGCTTCGAACTGGGTGCCGTTGTCGGATATGATCTCTTGGGGGACGCCAAAGCGGGTGAGAATGTTCTTGTGGACGAACTTCTGGCACCTAGCCCCCGTGATACTAGCCAAAGGTTCTGCTTCGACCCACTTGGTGAAGTAGTCAACTGCGACGATGATGTAGCGGTTGTTGCCAGCAGCTCTGGGTAGTGGGTCGACCAGATCAATCCCCCACCTTGAAAATGGAATGGCAGTGCTGACGAGGGCGTAGTTGACGGCTGGCCGACCAGGGGTCTTCTGGAGCACCTGGCACGTGGTACATTTCCTGGCAAGATCCGCACAATCCCGTGCCATCGTCGGCCAGAAATAGCCCTGGACGACGAGACGCCGGGACATACTGAAAGGGCCCTGGTGTGAGGAGCAAACACCGCAGTGAACTTCCTCCATGGCCACTTCGGCCTCTTCCTGGTGTAGGCATCGGAGGAGGGTACCATTGTAGGATCGCTTGTAGAGCTTGTCAACTTCGATAATGTAGCTCGGAGCCCTGAGTTTGGCAAGCTTGGCCCTCTCCTCGTCCTTGGGTAGCTCCCCCGTGGTGATGAAGGTGGTGATGTCGGAGATCAAGTCCTCCGGCCGTTGTTGGATGCACAAGATGGGGCTGGCATGGATGCTGGACATGCTCAGCTCCTCGATCTTGGCTAACTTGGAGATGTGCTCCGGAGTATCCGAGCTGAGCTTGGATAGGATGTCGGCCTCGGCGTTCTCGACCCTTGGGATCTGTGTGATCTCGTAGGTTTCGAACGCCTTCAGCAACTCCTCTGCTGCATCCGGCCTTCCTTTGCTTCGTACGTACCCTCAACCTGGCCCACTAACAGCTTGGAGTCGCACCTGATTCTGATGTGCCTGGCTCTGAGGCCAGCGGCAAGTCTGAGGCAGCTGAGGAGGGCCTCATACTCGGCTTCGTTGTTAGATACCCTGAAGTTGAAGCAGATGACATAGTAAGCTCTGAATCCTTCAGGGGATATGAGGACGACGACGCCCCCGCATGATTTCGCGGCCGACGAGCCGTCGGTGAAGAGGAACCATGTGTCATCCGGCTCTGGCCCGAGGGTGGTAGCGGTTGTCTCCCTTGCTGTGCATTCGGTGACAAAATCGGCCAAGGCTTGCCCTTTGATAGATGGCCTTGGTTTGATCTCAATTTGGAATTGGCTAAGGAAGATCGCCCATTTCACCATCCTCGAGGAGCTAGTGGGACTCCTCATGAGTGCGCCAAGGGGCTGCTGGGTCAGTACGTGGACGGCGTGGGCCTGGAAGTAGTGCCCCAGCTTTTTCACCGTATGGACGATGGCTAACACCGTCTTCTCAATGGGGGAGTACCTGAGCTCGGCCTCTCTGAGTGTCTTGCTAATGTAGAATATGGCCTTCTGCACCCCTTCGTCCTCGCGGATGAGAACAGAGCTGATGGCCGACGCGCTCACCCCCAAGTATAAGAACAGGGTTTCGCCGGTCTTGGGTTTGGAGAGCACTGGTGGGGACGAAAGGTACCTATTCAGCTCTTCAAATGCTTCTTGTCACTCCGTCGTCCACTTGAAGCTGTTTGCTTTGCGCATGATCTGGAAGAAAGGGAGTGACCTCCCGGCTGATCTGGAGAGGAAGCGGCTCAGGGCCGCCAGCCGCCCCGTTACCGCTGTACCTCTTTGACGTTGCGGGGTGGCTCCATGTTGATGATAGCCTGTATCTTCTCTAGGTTTATCTCAATGTCTCTCCAGCTGACCATGTAGCCGAGGAACTTGCCGCATTGGACGCCAAAGGCGCACTTCTTGGGGTTGAGGCGGAGTTTGAACTCCTTCATGATTTCAAAAAATTCCCGGAGGTCGTCAGCATGTGTGGTGGCTCGCTTGCTCTTAACAATCATGTCATCGACGTATGCCTCCATCGTCCGGCCGAGGACTGCTCTGAAGATCTTGGCCACCATCCCGGTATAGGTGGCGCCGAAGTTTTTGAGCCCGAAGGCCATGATGAGGTAGCAAAAAATTCCCTCTGGGGTCATGAAGGCCGTCTTCTCAGCATCATCTTCATGCATGAAAATCTGGTGGTACCCTCTGAAGGCGTCGAGGAACGACATCAACTCGCATCCCGCTGTCTCGTCCACCAATTGATCAATGTTGGGGAGAGGGAACGGGTCCATGGGACACGCCTTGTTCAGGTCAGTGTAATCAACACACATTCTGAATGTCGGCGGTTTTTGGGCGAGGACGACGTTGGCTAGCCACGTCGGGTACTTCACCTCTTTGATGTGGTTGATTGAGAGGAGCATTGCGACCTCCCCTTTGACGAAGTCCCGCCTGTCGGCGGATAAGTAGCGCCACTTCTGCTTGATAGGCGCGGAGGCTGGATCGACGGTCAGCCGGTGGGTGATCACCTGCCGGCTGATGCCTGGCATGTCGTCCGGGCCCCACGCGAAGATGACGGCGTAT